TGGTTATTGATAAATTTAAACAACGCATAAGTAGGGCCAAGAGCCCACAGATCAACGGGCTTCCGCTATAATTTGGATAGGTGGTGGTTTATAGTCCATGTTTTGCTCACCGGAATAAATTTTTTTGTTTGCTAATGTTTAGGACAGCTGGGCCTGCTGTCCTCTGTCGAAGCGTTTACTGACTTTATCGATCAGCATATTTAAAGTTGCGGCTCTACGTGTTGGCGTTGGGCTGATCGAATTTTCTCCACTCGTTGCTCGGCCCTCCGTGTGAATTTTGGCGTGGCTTGATGGCAGTTAGTGTTGTGTTTCGTCCCCACGGTAGCGGGTGCTGATAATCTTGCTCCCTCCTCCGGTCGTTTCGTCACAGGGCCGTCTTCATTTGCAAATCCTAAGTTCGGATTGACCTTGTCCTGTTTTTTACGTGCGTAACGGCGCAGGACTTTGTAAGCCGTCGAAGGTCCAGATGCCTTTTTACGAAGCTAACGTCTGAAGGTCATGCCTCAAGCATCAGTTTTTCCGTCTTTGAGGTTCCTAGGCCTACGATGGTCCCTACCTGAATATCGAAGTTGTGGCCAGTCTCTTCGATATGTGTTGCAAGCAGCGAGTTCGGATCTAGCCATCGGCCGCCACTTTGTGTTCTTTTAGGCGGGTCTGCAATTTATGCCCTGTTCCTCATATCCAATCGTCCTTGGGGCACATGCAGTTTGAAGGGATGTCCCCGGCGATTATTCGTGGTGGCGCGTTGGAAAAATTTCCCACACACGAGAGCGCAGTCCAAGCTACGCACGATACGGAAGGCTTGAAACAAATATCTGCGTAAATGCCTATAACTCAGAGGATAGAGATTAAGGTTACTTAGGCGGATCTCATATGATACTGCACCTTGCCCTTGTACTTATTATGTGGCCCGCCGCTGCACCCATCATCTGCGAACATGGCACACCCACAGTCCAATTCCTATACACAATCGTCAACGAACAAATTAAAGAGCACTAAACCTTGAGGGGCTCCACTCTTGATAACTGTTGGCCTTGGTCGCTGTCGTCCTGCACACACAGTTTGGAAACGACCAGCGAGGAAATTCTCAATCCACGTAAGACGTTTTTCTCCGATGTCCATAACTCTCAGCTCGTGCAGAAGGCGTTGGTGTGGAACACTGTCGAAAGCTTTCGGAAAATCAACGTAGGCCACATTTACGGTGTCTTTTGCATCGATGGCCCTTGTCCAGCTTGGCATCGTATAAAGCAAGTTTGTAGCGCACGACCTAACTTTACGAAAACCATATTGCGCATAGGAAAAGAAATTTAGGGTTTCCTTTTTGGTTATTCTCTCCATTACCTTGCAGGATATGGAGGTAAAGCTGACGGGTTTGTAGCTGTTCGCAAGTGCACGAATGCCACTTTTGTGAAGTGGTGTAATGTGGGCTGTTTTCCAATCTGAGGGAAGACTTCCAGCATCGAACGATTGCTGGCACATAATTGACAACGGTTTGGCCAGCTCTCTAGCAAGTCTATGGAGCAGTTTTGCTGGAATCTCATCTGGATCGGGAGATTTACATCCCTTCAAGCTTTTTATTTCCTCTAAAATTGCTTTCTCTCCAAATAGAATATCCTCAATAATCAGCGCTCCCACCATCTAGGTAGAATGAAGGCAGTTTCTGTGGTGAAAACCGACCGAGAGAACTAAAAATGCCAGATATCTCGAGGACTTAATCATTTTTCATAACAGGAATCGGGTTTCTGTTGCGCATGATTTTTATAAACTTGGATTTTTTACCTGCTCGATGTAGTAAATCACTCCCAAAATCCCGTCGTCTTTTGAAAACCACACTTTTTTACCTCATCCCCTGGATTATATACTTTGAAAGTTTCATTATGGTTTGTTCCACAAAACTTTTCCCAAAGCCTTTCTTTCATATTGATCTCTCTCTTTAGATCTCTTGTCAGCCACTGAGGTCGGGTGGATATCCTGGGCAATGGTGGCGGCAGTAACTTTGCTTTGGATGCAACAACTGCTCCTTAAATTGATTCCAGTCCTCAGTGACATGCCCGGAGAAAAGAAGACGCCAGTCTATTTGCGATGCCTCTGCTTTCATTTGGGAGAAGTCGCTTCGCCATATATTCGGCCTCGGTTCGTTTGTTGCAGGGGAGTACAGAATAAAGATCACGAAAGTATAGCGTGATCACTTGGACTAAGTGGAGGCAGGCAGAATACCTCGTATATACCGTCAGGATGCTTGGTGAAGACTAGGTCTAAACAACTAACCTGTTGCCCTCCACGTGCTCTAGTTGGAACGAGGACGTGTTGTGTGAGAAGAGCCTCAAGTTTCGTTTTATAAGGGGGCGATAGAAGGCATTTCTAGAACAATTCGCCCGCAAATCGTTCCAACTGATGCTAGGTGCATTGAAGTCATCCACGAGTACAACATTAGGTCGACTGATTATCTCCTTTATGCACTTTAGTAAACACGCATCTGCATCAGTGTCTGTCCGCGGTGGTCGGTAGACGATCACAGCCTCCAGAGGCTGCGACCCCCGTGTCTTAACTGTCAGCCAAATAGCCTCCATACCATCGTTAATCTTTTTAGTCCCCTCGCACACAGTTAAGTCGCCCTTTATACACCTAGCAATCCTCCTCCGTGGCGTTCCATCCGGTCTCGCCTTAGTATTTGGTATCCACATATCGCTACTTCGGAATCATTGATGCTCTGTGACAACTATGCTTCTATTACTGCTATAACATCAGGAGAAAAATCGGCTACTTGTATTCGAAGTTTATCGAACTTCGAGAGTAGACTCTGAGCGTTGGTATACAGACATTTTATTCGGCAATATCGGCCTCACGGACCACTGTTGATATTTTCAAGAGATCAGGTTGCTAATGGCAGGGACTTAATATAAAATTAAAAAATTAATTAAAAATTAATAAATAATAATAAATAAATAAAATAAAATAAAATAATTATTACCGACCTGTGGCTGTGTACCCCCGAATGCCTGAGAGTCCACAGCATGATGTTTGTCTTATTTGGGCGAAGAGGCACAGTCGGGGTTGATATCATGGAGGAGTGGATTTTTGTAACATAGTCGCTTATGTTACAGTCGAACAAGCAATGACGCTGTTCATGGGAATGACTAGTAATGATAAAGCTGACTAAGGGAGATTACATGCACTATGTACACTTGATCTACCCTGTTTATTGTAGTAACCTGCTGGTTAACAGGAAAAGTCAGCAATTCTTGGTAATCGCTCTGCTGACGATAGTGAAGAGAAATTAGGATGTCCCGATCCTGGCAGCCTGATCCAGGAGCTGCGACTTAAATAACCAACTGAAGCTAACAACAATTTCACAGAAAACATAAAGACAAAGGTCCGTATCCGAGGCACTATATGACCCTTGATTTTCTGTTAGGGATTTTTTTACATAAGAGCAGGAACCGCCCGTAATGCAAATGGTTTTTCATTAAATTCCAGGGAGATTATTGATCGACTTAAAGAAGGGCTAGGGTTATGGCTGAGCTGAACGCTATGCTTAAGGTTTAGGTGCAGCTTAGCGTTAGGATTAGAATCAGGATACGGGAATATGTACCCTTCCTGTCATTTAGTACAAGGCCATTTCGGTTACGTGGGCGGGCGTCCCTGTCCTCGTGTCCCGTTTAGAAGTCCCCATAAGGAATTTTGAGTGACTTTGCAATTGGCTTTATTACGGGGAAACGATATCCTTTAAGGGACACTCTATATTTTACTATACATAACTACCTACTTATTTCTTTATCGTTAGCCTATTGTGTATTATTATTTTATATAATTGTGGATCGCAGTGCTTTTGAAAATTAGTCTTCGGTGGCTTTCCTTGCGTATGGTTTTTTTAGTTTTATTGGTTTATGTTTAGCCTTTATTTTAATCATATTACTTTTTGCTTAGTTTCACCATATTTTACTATCAAGCTTTATTTTGTGTTTAGTATGCATTTTATTAGGTTTGCTTTAGTTTATCTTTGAGTTGAGTTAGATTTTTAGTACAGTTTCAGTTTAGGGAGCGTACGTGTACTTTCGATAAATTATCTTCAGGCCAGTAGATTTATATAGGAAGGGGGTAAAAGGTAAACAAGTGGTCAATAATGTTCGTCTTTTCTTACAAGCGAATCGTGGGAATTGGAGAAAGGGGTCGATAAGAGAAGGATGGTTACGCGGGGAGGGCTTGGTGGAGCCAGTCTAGGGTGAGGGAGAGGGTAGGGAGGGGCGGAAAACAAACAGAGCGTAACCATCCTTTGCTTACCGACCCCTTCCCCCGATTCGCACGACTCGCTTATAAGAAAAAACGAACACTATTGACCGTTCGTTTAACTTGTACCGCCTGCCCATATAAATATACTGACCTGATGAGAATGTATCGCAAGTTTTAGTTTAGTTTCTAATTTATTATTTACTTTTGCTTTAGTTTGGAGTACTTTTACGTTTTGTTGGCTTACTTTGCTTAAGTTTGCCTTCGTTTAGTTAGTTTTCTTTAGTTTTATTAGCGAGATGCGGTTTCCTTTCGACTTATTAAAAATAGGGATAAAGCGTATCTTTCATGGTTTTAGTTTACTCTCGAAAATTTTCATATCATTTTATAGTTTTGCAATAGTAGCGATTCCGCAATTTGCGGGTTTCTTGTTTGCTATTGGTTGTATTTGTCACTTGAACTATCGTGGCCTTCTGTTGCCAAACATTAGGTTATTTAAATAATTCTTCCTATTATTTTCTAATTTTACTCGCTCTACCATTGGAATTACGTCTTTGGCCTGATATGCCCTACCCATAAACCTCCTATTACTACCGGTCCCGCAAGACAGAAGCCTGGGGTTTTCTGTTACTGTGGTGTCCCTTACAAGGACTTTTCGCGTAATTCGGATATAGCTTTTTGAAGTTCCGAAAGCATCAAAGAACGAATGTTTTGCGACGTCTACTAGATATGCAAAGCAGGCCAGGTCCAGTCACTACATCGGTCGGCATCTTCATAGGCGCCAACACGCCCTCGCAGAGCTGGCACGCTGACTCGATATCCGTGCGCCCTTCTGCGTGGGCATTGACATTGATGTGTATGTGTTTGTGTGCACTCCTCGCTGGGCGACTGCATGCTAAATCTGTCCTGATTGCTGTTGTCACTGTACTTGTCGAGTGCACGCGCTCTGTTCCGCCCACCTTGTCTAGTCCTGGGTCCCAACGCTTACATGACCCGCCGAAAACACAGCAATTCGCTGAGACCAACAATCAGGACACCATCTGTCTGGATTACGAAAGGTAATCTAAAAGTGCATCTTCTACTCACATCAAAGAGGAGCGGCTATGTCGCATTCAGGCTGTTATTGGAGGTTTGTTCTGTTAACGGCACAACTATTCATTTTGCGGTCAACAGGCTGTCCGACAGACACAGAAGCAGTGACAGCCGATCAGGCAGACAGGCAAATCGAGGTATCTGGACCACCAACTATTTGCATGAACCCAGCACTGGTTGGAACGATTGGATATAATGGGTGCCAATCAGTTGATCTAGCATAATGGTGGTTTGGCAATAACAGCATTAATGGGACTTATTCATTGAGATACTACTACTACTACTGCGCCTGTTGTCACTATCTTTTTTTAAATCTTGTCAGGATTAATGTTCTGAAGCGGCAATGCTCCAACCGCCTCATGTCACAACGTTTAGGATTTTGAAAAATCCCATACCTTGAGGTACCTCTCGCAGCTGACTGCCTAGTCCTGCCTTAATTCCATAGAACCTAATTAGGATTATCTTAAGCCAATGGTTCGCAGGACGCCAAAACTGTAGAAGCCGTGGCGCTTCAGGCTACTTCTTGTGAAGGTCTGATAAGATAGGAAGAAATTCCTTATCTCGTCAACAGCTTGTATATTCGACGCAGCGATATTTCTGCACATAGACAGATCTCTGCGATATTAATATATGGGTCACTTTATATCCTGATTTTTATAAAACTTATTCCGGGGATAAACTGGTCCAAAATAAGGCGAGTTTAATAGTACAGTGCTAAGTTTATTTTCTCTAACTTAGCATGGTTCACCGGATCTCCTTTTTAATTCACCAACGGTTTTTGCGTAGCAGGTTCATGTGCCTATCAAAAACGGTCTACTTGCAGTCCTCGCTCTGCCCCCTTCTTCGGCGCGGCCGCAAAAAGTCCGCATATAGCCATCAGATAGTGACTGCGGATTCTAGGCAGTTTTGGTCTACTTTTCTCTAAGGTTCCCTTACGACTTCTGATGGGATTTAGTATTTTCACGCCTCGGTTAATTTATTTCACGTCCGACTGGTAGCTTGCGCAGGAAACTAATCATCCCTTAGAGATATTCAGCAAAAGAAAGTATTCTCCGTATGTTTATATAAATTATTATTAGTTTGTGCACCGATATATTCCTCAGGATGCGCCCATCCTGGGATAATGCTTT